GGCCGTATCCCTATAGTGCGCTCTTTTAAGGTCCTCAGGGAATAGTCCGAGAAGGGCTATAGCTGGGTCAAATGGTGGTTCCATTCCCAGCTTTCCCAGGAATCTCCATACTGCTTTCCAAATTGGCCTCACCATTCTTTTGCTCTTCCTTTAAGGCCAACACAGGCCTATTGAGATGGCAAGCCAGTTTTTATCTGAAGAACATACAGGGCATCAAAAGAAGCTAAGGTTTAGGATGTCTTACAGATGTTCTAAGAAATTACAGATATGTGGGCAACCTTGAAGTACTATGATGTGGCAAATAATATGTCTGATTCTTTCTCATTAGAAGTTTGAAAGTTGAAGGCCAGGTGCAGTGGCACACTCCTGTAATCCCAGTGGCTTGGGAGGCTGAGACAGGAGGATCGCAAGTTTAAAGCCAGCCTCAGCAACAATGAGGTGCTAAGCAACTCAGTGAGACCCTGTCTCTAAATAAAATACAAAATAGGGCTGGGGATGACTCAGTGGTTGAGTGCCCCTGAGTTCAATTCCTGGTACCAAAAAATTAAAAGTTGATTTTACCTTGAATTTTTTGTTTATTGAAAAGAGGATAATTATAAGGACGAAAGTGGGGTTCCCATCCTGCTGAATGATATAAAATTGCCTGTGGATTTCTCTAGCACCAGTTGTTTTGCTTCAACCAATAGTGCTTATGGCAGCCAAAAATGAAAGGCGATTTGAGGCTGTCATCCTGGGCTTCTCTGAAAAACTAAGGGAGTGCCTGTTTGTGCCTGACCAAGGGGAGTTTTTTTGTCACAATGGGGAAATGACTAGAACTGGATAATTCACTTTCTTTGTTTCTGACTAGTGCCTTGTGTTTTAATTAACTTTTACAAGTGAATAATGGGCAATAGCCACAATTCCCTTGGCTAGCAAAACAATCATATAGTGTTCTATTGCAATATAAAAAATGTGCATAAGTCTTTGATACTGGAAGGTTTTGTAGCACTTTAAAATTAACAAGTTTGTTTTATTCTCTGCATATACCAGTAGATTTTTATGACCTTTTAAGTCCATTCTTCTGTTAGGGTATTTTGTGTGCATATTTTTTGTTTGTCTTCCTTTACTTGCATTTAGGGAACTTCTAAGTCAGGCTGGTTTCAAATCAATTTTTAGAATTTTTACCAAGTTAATCCTAGTCCTGTTTTATTCAGATGCTAACCTTTTAAACCTTTCAACTTCACCTCTCCCTTAAAACCAGTTACTAACTCAGCTGGTTGCATGAATGAAGGGATTGAGGCTTATAGGTAAAGTTGCTATACTGGTCTGTTTTTTTTTTTTTTTGGTTGTTGTTACTCTAATGACATATATGAGGCTGGGTGATTTTATAAAGAAAAGGGGAATATAACTGCTAACCCATAGTTTAATGATTTAACCATAGTTTACCAGATATATTTCTCTTATGAAAGAATCGGTGAGTGACATCTAAAGGCAGTTTTAATATGGAAAATTTGAGGAGGGGCTCCATAGCATAAGAATATACTTAACATATATTGTGACCACTTACAATTAAATTTTCTCTTCTTGCAGTAAGTACAAATGGATTCTAGGTGAGGAACCTGTGGAAAAACGAAGAAGGCTCCAGAATGAGATGCCAACATCGCCTCTGGATTATTCCATGCCTGGATCTTATAGGAGGGTAGAGGCAGCTGTTGCCTACGCAGAAGGGGAGAACAGCCATGATAAATCAAGTTCTGAGAGAAGTACACCACCATGCCTTTTCCCAGAATACCCAGAAGCAAACAAGAATACAGGACAGAATAGGGAAGCATCAGTTCTATATCCAGGGGCCCAAGACCAACGCCAAGGGTCCCTGCTTCCTGAAGAATTAGAAGATCAGATGCCAAGATTGGTAGCAGAAGAATCCAATAGAGGAGAATCCAATAGAGGTAGCACAAACATAAACAAAGAAGAAGTGAACAAGGGACCTTTTGTAGCTGTTGTTGGTGTTGCAAAAGGTGTTAGAGATTCAGGGGCCCCCATTCAGCTAATCCCTTTTAACAGAGAGGAGCTTGCTGAGAGAAGAAAAACTGTTGAATCCTGGAACCCAGTGCCTTATTCTTCTGTGGCCTCTGCTGCAGCCATTGGGGAGAAAGGAAGAGGCTATGAGGAGAGTGGAGGTCGTAACACACCAAAGATGAAGAACCAGAGAGAACTGGAAGAATTGAAAAGAACCACAGAAAAATTGGAACGTGTTTTGGCTGAAAGAAATTTGTTCCAGCAAAAGGTTTGGGCAACATCTTACCACTACAAATTAGAGCTCATTGTAATCAAGGGTATGGGGTGTTGGTGCTCTGATGATTTCACGTTCTGAGGCCTTTAAACAAAATATGTCAATGAACCATTCTGTGGTATGATTCAGATTGAGTGAGCCCTAATGGGCTTCTCTTCCATATTTTAGGGTTGAAAAGAAATTTCTATAATTAGAGGAATATGTATAATGGAATCACAGGGTAAAGATAGTAAGAACAATTTTGGGCACTCTATTAAGGTTTCAGTAGTATGTGGGCTCATTGAATTTTTTTCTTGGACTTCAGGTGGAGGAGCTGGAACAGGAGAGGAATCACTGGCATTCTGAATTCAAGAAAGTTCAACATGAATTGGTGACCTATAGTACCCAGGAGACAGAAGGGTTATACTGGAGCAAGAAACACATGGGTTATCGCCAAGCTGAATTCCAGATTCTGAAAGCTGAACTAGAAAGAACCAAAGAGGAAAAGCAAGAATTACAAGAGAAATTGAAGGAGACAGAGACACACCTGGAAGTGCTACGGAAGGCTCAGGTCTCCTACCGGACCCCAGAGGGAGATGACCTAGAAAGGTTAATTACTAGGGTTTAGTTATGAGCTTGTGAGTGCTAATGGGAAGCATCTCTTAGGACCCCCAGTTAATGGTCATAGACAAGGGAGGAAGCCTTAATTCATAGGCCACCAAGGATTGGATAATTACTTCTTAGAAAGCCTCAGCTCCAATTTCCATGTGTTTGGTGGCATTGTGCTTTCTTCTTTCTTTTTAGCTAATGGAAACATAATTGTTGAGAATGTAGGCCCATTTTGAAGGGACTTCATTTTATTATGTTGGCTAATGACTTCATGTCATCTCTTCTCCTGCCCCCTCACTCTATCATACAGGGCTTTGGCAAAGCTTACGCGACTGCGTATCCACGTCAGCTATCTTCTTACTTCTGTCCTCCCTCACTTGGAGCTTCGTGAGATCGGGTATGACTCAGAACAAGTGGATGGGATCCTGTACACAGTGCTGGAGGCAAATCACATACTGGATTGAGCACCAGACTATATATATATTCTTTTCTTTTCAGCCTGTGTACTATATATACTCTTTCCTGTACTTCTCTATTCTTCTCTTGCCTTCCTTCTCTTCTCTTTTTCCCTTCCTCCCAAACACACACACAAAAAACTTCTTTCTCTCTCTCTCTGTCTCCTTTATGCCATATGTAGAGAATCTTTGAGTAAATCCTGGATCTTAATCAGTCTGCTGCTTACTCAGTTATGGTGTAGACAGAGAAACCAATTAAATAGACTTTCAAGGTTCCAGGAACAGAAAAGCAAGAGTCACCAAGCTAGGTGATCAGAAAGCTTTTTTACTTGGCCTATTTTATATCCTTTCTGAAATGGTTCATACTTGTTTTGGTCAGTCAGTAAATACTAGGTCCGACATACCTGGTGTTTCTTGATGAATTATGAAGTACTCATGTTTTCAGCCTACTAAGGTTCTAACAAGACACCAAGTTACCTAATTATCCACAGAATTATATGGTTTATACAAGTTAGTGGTAAAAACATAACATAGAAATAGGGGAAGGGAGCTTAAGAAAAGCATCACACCAGAAATGGGACCTAAACTAAGGTTTAAAGAATGAGCATGGCCATACTGTTAACATGTGTTGTTCTTTAGGTGGTAGGATTATGGTTGATAATTTTTTCTTCTTCCTATCTTCCTGCCTTTTTCAAATTTTCTATAATAAACTTGATATTCTTACATTTGAAAAAATGAATTATTTTTTAAAGAACAATTAGACTTGGATTTGGGTATCAAATGAGAGACTGTGAAACTATATGTAATATTCCATTTATTACTTAGGTTAAATTTAGCATTACCTCTGGAAGAACAGCACGCATGAACAAAGACACAGAAAATTCAGAATGGGAAAATTGTTTTAGGTAGGAGTGGTAGGTTAATGTAAAGGGAACTGAGATTAAATCATGACCCATCTACCTACCCACTTTCCCATCCACTATGGTATTTGCTTTTTAATTAGGAATATTAAAAAACAAATCTTCAACATTCATCAATTTTAAATGTATATCACCAACTTGAAGATTTTCAGTTATAGGGAGAAGTATTTTACAGTAGGGAGATCTATCTGATGTCTCTCAGAATATACCTATATATCCTTCAGGGTATCCTGAGTGAGGGATAGACCTCATAGTATTAGAAATAGTAAAGCTTATACTCATGTAAATTGAAATGTTTTATTCATCCATTGCTTTATTATATTTATATAGTGCATACTCTCCAAAGAGTTCCAGGTGCTCATCAAAAGACATTGAACAAAGAACATATAAAAACATCAAGGAGTAGGGTTGTGGCTCAGTGGTAGAGTGCTTGCCTAGCATGCATGAGGCCCTGGGTTTGATCCCCAGCATCAAAAAATATATATCAACAGTGAAAAATAGGAAGTATAGAAATATAAAAGCAAGGTAGGCTCAAGCAGTGGCAAAAAGGATTAGCTAGACAAAATGCTTTGGATACTCATTCTGTTTCTCTTCTGCAGAGTTATTTCAGAAGACTTTTACAAACATATTTTACCTCATTTGAAAGGAAGCCAATTATAGATAGTCCTGTGAGATTGCAGGAGAAAGGAGGAGGCCAGAACCAGGCTTCACCATTAGAACAAGTACTTAAAGATATCCCTGGTTGAGCTGGGGATGTGGCTCAAGCAGTAGCGCGCTTGCCTGGCATGCGTGAGGCCCGGGTTCAATCCTCAGCACCACATACAAACAACGATGTTGTGTCTGCCGAGAACTAAAAAATAAATATTAAAAATTCTCTCTCTCTCTCTCTCTCTCTCTCTCTCTCTCTCTCTCTCTCTCCTCTCTCACTCTCTCACTCTCTCACTCTCTCTTTAAAAAAAAAAAAAAAAGATATCCCTGGCCACTGCCACATCACCTCACCTCAGCTTGCCACATGATTAGTTTTTATGTTGGATATTTGGATCATGATAGTCAAGGTCTCATTTTATCTAAGTGTAAATATTACTGAGGGATAGGGAGCATATTAAGCCATTTTTTCAGTGATATTTGCTTGTCATTTGGGGGCTGAGAGGGCATAAGACTTTGTACAGTTATGAATAATATGAAAGGGAATCTGGTAGAAGGAAAAGTTCAGATTGTTGAAGGTTCAGACTTTGTGTTCATTGGACAAGTGAGGGGCAGAGTAGGAAGGAGGACCGGCAATTGAACTTTAAAAGGAAAATGATGGAAAATTTAACTCATCTTTACTAGTACTTGCTTTCAGTTTACTCCCTGGCCCATTCCCTGAAAGCCCATGGTCTTGACTCCACCACGTTGTTTTTTTTTTTTTTTTTTTCCCTGGCAACAGTTATCTGTGTGAGTCCATTCACTTCAACAATATGAAGTGTTACCTGTTTACTATGAAACCATACCAATATGAGTTCTAAATACCACCGTGGAGAAATTGGAACTTGTTTTACAACCTTACTCTAGAGTCTGTTATCTAGTATGGAAGCAAAGACATTGAAAAGGTTAGGTTAACATGATCATAATCTTTCTTTCAAATATCTCTCACATTTGCCTTTGAACTTTCCATTTCCATGTTAACATTTAGGCCTTTATTATCTCATGCCTTGATAATTTAAATAGATTCTTAACTGGCCTACCTTGCTTCCTGTTCTCACTTAGTCCACCCTATTCAATATATTAAATGGCTTTTAACAATTTTATCATGTCATGCCTCTGTTCAGAGATTTGCTAGTGCTGACAGTTGCCCACTGAATGCAATACCAATTCCTTAGCATGGTGCTCAAAACCATTTGTGACCTGGCTTCAACCACTCTCTCTAGACTTATTTTCCAACATTCCGAACACACAATATATTCCATCCAAACTGAACTCTTTCAGTTTCTAAACATGCCTTAAGATTCTCTCATTTTCTACCTTTGCTATTCCATTCCCTTTTACCTAGAGTGTTCTTCCTCATCATCTTTATTTTGGCTCAAATGCCATTTTTTTCTAAAAATTGCTTTGATTAACCAAGTTAGACATGACATTTCCCTTTGAATATTTAAGTTTTATGTCACTTATTAGGCTCTTACCACAAATTTCCTTGTCTAGTCTTCATATTAGATAGCTCCAGATTCAAATATTATACTGCCTATTTGACATTTACACTTACATATCTCATAGATACTTCAAATAAAACATGTTAAAAATGAACAGTGATATACCCCAGGACTGTTCTTTCCTCCACAGTTTTCCTTGTCTTAGAAAATGGCACCTCCTCCCACCCAGTTGCTTAAACTGGAAAACTGGAAGTCATCTTTAGTTTTCTTCTTCTCTCATCCTCTACATCCAGTCTGTCAAGTCTGTCAGTTCTATTCCAAAGTATATATTGACTATTCATTTTATCATAGCTAACTTAGTCCATCTCCAATGGATTATAACAGCTCATAACAGGAGTTCTTATGTCCACTCTTATTCCCACAATTGTATTTTCACTAGAGATGTGATTTTAAAAAAATGCAAATTAAATCTTATGACTTCTCTGTTTAAAGCCATTAAACAACTTCTCATTGCACTTAGAATAAAATCCAAACCCCTTACAACATCCTTTAAGACCACTGTCTACTTCTTTTACTTTGTTTCATGAATCCTTTTATCCTACACCACTTTTACCCTGGCTCACTGTGGTCTTTCCACTGAGGCATGTCAAGCTCTTTCATACCTCAGAGCTTGTACCTTTACTGTTCCATCTCCTGAGACATGTTTTACCCCTACTGTTCCTTCTAGAATACTTGTATCTCCATTCATGGCAAGGCTATCTATTCCTTATCCTTCGGGTCTTGATATGTCACTTCCTCAGACAGGCCTTTCTTTTTCTCTATTATTCTCTCATTTTTTCCTGTTTTTTTCCCCAAACTCATATCATTGCTCGCAATTTATAATTATATATCTGGTCACATACCTTGATTCAACAAATATTTATTGAGTACCTACTGTGTGCTGCAAGATATGCAGTGGTGAACACAACACACATGATCCCTGTATGACTCCCTCAATGATAAGTTGCATGATGGGCAGGGCTATGCCTGTTTTTGTCAACCACTGTATTCTACTTCTTAGTACCTGGGATATAGTAATCAATAAATGATTGCTAACAAATGAGTTTTTTATTGGAACTGTGTTTTGTTCATATCTCTCTGTCCCCCAAGGATGTAAAACAGTGTCCCATTCATAGACAGGGTTGGATAAATACAGCATGAGTGAGGTAGATAACAATCCTGGGCAATAAACTCTGAAAGACTGAGACAATGCATTGCTCAGGTTATTGGGGGCGGGCAGTGATCAGAGTGGCCTAGTGTTTCTCTTTAGCTAATCTATGACGTGAATAATTATAAAGGCTGCCAAAGGAGGAAAGGAATATGGGTGTTCTTTACTACAAACATTCTGAATATTATCTAAAAGACGTTCTTTATTGGGCAATTTTTAAATGCTAAGGACTATAGAATAAACCCTGGAGAAGGCTATAGAGACCAGATCTTGAGACTGAGAACCAAAAGGAGAAAAAAAAAATCTGAGGCTTCAGTATTTTCAAGAGTTGTCTTAGTTTATTTCAAGTGAAGAAAGAAGAGCTATACAAAAGCAAAGAACAGACAGAAGAGGTCTCAAGGAAACAAGTTCCAGGGACATGTTAAGAGGTCAGTATATATTGGTTGGATGAAAGGGACCTAGACCAGAGACTTTGTGGCACAAGGAGGCAGCAAGATTTGCTGCCCGTGGTCAGTAATTGTAAATTATCTGGGCTAACAATTTAGAGGCTGAGGCATAATTGGCAGGTTCTTAGTCCCAAGGGCAATCTCAAGACAAAATGTCTTCCAGGATTCCATATTATGAATTAAAACCCCTTTCTGTAATACTCTATTAGGAGTGAAGCATGGAGGTCTGCTCAGGAATGCTGGATATGAGCTCAGGCTAAGCCAAAAGTGATTGCCTCAAAAAACGACTTATGTTTCATGACAAAGGACATCCCTAAATTATGATTTATATTAGGCTGACAGGATATTTGAGAACCATACATTCTGA